GAAAACTCCCCAAATTTGGTGCGAGACATACATTTACAGATTCAGGAAGCTCAGTGAATACCAAATACAGTACATTCAAAGAAGAGCACTGCCGGATACGTCACAATCAAACTGCTGAAAATTAAAGATAAAAATTCTTGACTACACCTGGAAAAAATGACACATTATATGTAGTAGAACAATGATGAAAATAAGTAAAGATTTCTCATGGGAAACTATGGAGTCCACAAAATGTTGGAATGACATCTTTAAGATACTTAAAGAAAGGAATCGTCAACTCAAAATTCTATATCCAGTGAAAATTCCCCTCAGGAATGAAGGGGGAGAAATGTCACACGCATGCTAAAAAGGAGGCTAAAGGAATTCTTTAGCGTGAATGGAAATGATACCAAATGGGAACTAGGAATTTCAGAAACGAAGAAGGAGCAACAGAAATAGTAAGTTTTTTGGTAAATGTAAAATATTGTTTTTCTCTTCTTAAAAATATACATGACTGTGTAAAGTAAAAATTATAACTTTCCTGGCTAGAGTATCATGTATAGAGGAATACATACAACAACCAAAACTTGAAGGGAGGAGAGTTAAGGAAACTATTTGATGGTAAGACTTCTGCTTTTTGGAAATGGCACAATAATGCTAAGTACACTGTGAAAGATTAGATATGTATATTGTATCCCTAGAGGAAAAACAAAACAAAACAGGAGATAGAGCTAGAAGCTAATAGATAAATTAAAATAAATGGAGTACTAAAAAAAAAAATTTCAAATAACCCAAAAGAAGGCAGAAAAGGAGTAAAAGAGAAACAAAATCAGGGAGGAGAAACAGGAAAAAAGAAAATAAAATGATGGACTTAAATCCAGCCACATCAAAAATTACATGAAATGCTAGTGGCCTGAATACATCAATTAAAAGAGATTGTAAGATTGGTTAAAAAATAAGAACCATGTATACGCTGTCTAAAAGACCCCCACTTTAGATGTACGAACATAGATAGATTACAAGTTAAAAGGATAAAAAAGGTACACTATGCGAAAGAAAGCCAGAGTGGCTACATTAATATCAGACAAAGTAGATCTCAGATCAAGGACTATTACCAGGGATAAGGAGGTACACAACACCAAGGGTCGGTTCACCGAGTACGTAACATTCCTAAATGTGCATTCACAAAACAATAGAGCTTCAAACGATATGAAGAAAACCTGAGAGAATTGAGAGAAGAAACAGAGAAATCCACCATTATATATGGAGATGTCAACACTCTTTTCTCAGCAATCAACAGAACAAGTAGACTGAAAATCAGTAAGAATACAAAAGACCCAAACAATACTATTAACCAACCTGACCTCATTGACGTGTCTAGAACACACCATCCAAAAACAACAGAATGCACATTATTTTCATGAGCTTCAGTTTTGATCATTTCTGTTGACCTGTCTTTGAGTTCACTGATGTTTCTGCTCTGTCTCTCCCCCTCAGTTGCAGGTTTCTATGTAGTAGGGACTGTGTCAAGTTTTCACTATGCCTATTGCTGAGCCTAGGGATTGGCAGAGATGAGTTATTCAGTACCTATGTGTGGTTGGGGTAGCTTTCCAACTGGCAGCAGGAAATAGGGACCTTCAGCTCCGTGAGATTGTATTCAAATTTTCTGAAAATGTTTGTGGGAGAAATAAACAATGTAAATATTCCCTGTCCTTTATCTCAATCAATTTTGGTTGGATGCCTAAGCCAACACCTTTTTCAGAATATTCGATAATTACTGACCTAAAGTAAATATACTTAGAAACAAACTAGGGCTGATGCGTAGCTTCTGTATTTATTTCATGGTGACAATAATGAGGATGATACTAAAAATAGCAAATGTTTATTGGGTGCTTATTACGATCCACACTGACTTGCTAATGCTTTGATGTATTAACTCATTTATCCCTCATAATAATCTTACTTTTATCTCCATTTGACAGTTGAAGAAAGAGAGGCATCAGGAGGTTAATTAACTCACACAAGTTTATTCTGCCAGTAAGTGGCAGAATCAGGATTGAAACTTGGCAGCCGCCTTCTGCAGCCTGGTCTCTTGGCCAAAACCCTCTGCTTTCATTAGACTGGCCAAGTGCATTTTAGAGTTAATGAGGCTGCAGCTAAACCCGTTAAAAGGTGCCCTGGAGCAGAGGACACGGAAGCTGAGTGTTAAAAGCTAAGAGGGTCTAGGATGCAGGTGGGCAAACTACTGCCCTTGGCTTGTTTTTGTGAACTCCCCCCTCACCCCCAGCTACGAATGGTTTTTATATTTAAAGGATTGTAAGAAGAAGACAAAAAAAAGAACAATATTTGGGCCGGCCCCGTGGCGCAAGCGGTTAAGTGCGCACTGTGGTGGCCCGGGGTTTGCCGGTTCAGATCCCGGGTGCGCACTGACGTACCGCTTGTGAAGCCATGCTGTGGTGGCATCCCATATAAAGTAGAGGAAGATGGGCACGGATGTTAGCCCAGGGCCAGTCTTCCTCAGCAAAAAAGAGGAGGATTGGCATTGGATGTTAGCTCAGGGCTGATCCTCCTCACAAAAAAAAAAAAAAAAAACAATATTTAACAGAGACAGTGTGTGGACTGCAAAGCCCAAAATATTTGCTGTCTGTCCCTTTATAAGAAAAAGTTGGCCAACTCCTGATCTAGGTGAGAAGGGAGGGAGGAGAGAAGGAACAGCACATGCAAAGGCCTGGAGGCTTCTCTGTGAGGTCAAGTGATTGACATGGCTGGAGATTACAGGGAGAGAGGCTTTGGAGAGAAAATGAGCAGACACGGATGACTCCTCTGTGTGTGGCTTGCTAAGAATCTAGACTCGCTCCAGAGGCACTGGGCAGCCATGCACATGCTTTAACCAAGAAAGGAACAATATCAGACTTTAACTCTATCAAACTTGAAGAAACCAGAACATTGTGTAGGATGACCACTGTTTAAATGCCTCTTTAACATGAATTGCCTTAGAGTCTGAATTCTCCAAGTCCCTTGGATGATTAGTGACCCCTATTGCTTGATAAAGCCTGTCAGACAGATCTAAACTGGAAGCCTGTCTTCACGCTGAGTGTAAAGAGACATCGACAGCTCGTGGCTGCTCTTTCCTCTCAGAGACAGCCCCAGGAGCGGCTTAGAGTGGGGAGCAGTGGGGAGCTGGGACTCAGAAGGCCTGCTCTGCTCCTGGCTTCTGTATTCTCCAGTCATTTCCTTTACTCATTGAGAGGCTGAATGGCCTAGTGGTTAATTGTGTGGGCTCAGCTTGCAAACTGTCTCTATTCATCTCATAGTCTGTAGTTTGCAACCCTCTCTGCAAACTGGAGTCACCTGGGGGAAGGGGGCTTCATAAAAACTCTTCCTCCTGGATCCTGATTTATGGATCCCAGACTAGGGTTGGGCATTGGTATTATTTTTTTTAAAACTTTCCTGTGATACCAGTGAGCTGGCATATTGAGACCACTGTCCTGGTAATTAGGAACACAGACTCTGGGCTAATAATCCTGGCTTCTCTGCTGACTAAAGGGATAATTATGAGCAAACAACTTAAAAATCTTGATGCTTTAATATTCTCACCTGTAAAAATTGTCCCAACCTCTTGGGTTGTGAGGATTAAATGAGGCAATTCCTCTAAAGAATGTTTGGCTGTTGACTTCCAGTCCTGCTTTGGGAGCTCCTTCCCTGTTCTCCCAAAGGACCCTGTTTAAACTCTCATCTGGCGTCTGTCAGTGTGTAGTCTAATTGTGGATTTCCTAATTGGTCTCCCACACTAGGCTGTCAGCAACTGGATCTGGGAGCTGTATCCTTTTTAGGTGATCCGTAAATATTGCAAGTGAAAGAAAACTCAGCTCCTTCACTGCTAATTATGCAGCCAGGTTAATACTTGTTACTGGTGTTGTGCATACATTCTGTGGATTCTACAGCAGTGGCCCATGTGGGCAGGGACTTGGGAAGGGACGGGCGTCCTACTGGAGTGGCAGAAATCCTCCCTAAGGTGGTCCTAAAAGGCTCTGTCTTACTCATAGCCCACAAGTAGCCCTTTTTTGAGTTCTTTCTCTTCCACAGATGACCTTGAAGTTGCTTGAGAACAGTAAATAACCTTGAAGAAGAACCCAAGAAATTAACTTCCTGGTCTCCAAATCCTCCCAAGGGTCAAGCCCTGAGCCAATGCTTTACACAAATATGAGAAATATAGTAGCATCACAGGCTTCATTCCTCTTTCATTATATCCAGGTGGGAAGAGGGAGGTACCTTTTGAACCTCCTCTGGCTTCAGGAAGAATATTCACCAGCCATTAAACTTTTCAGAGGGTAGTCTCAATGTCTAAGCAAATGTTAATCCCGGAGCAACAAATGATTAAGTAAGAAGCCATGATCCCCGCCATGCAGATGTCTTATAAGACACGTTTGCAAGGACAGTTTTATGGTGCAGAACAGTACTTGCTTCTTTGCAGCTGCAAGATAATAGAAAATGTTGGTATGGTTATAGCAGTTTTCCACTACTCACACGTATAATCTTAACAACAATCTTCTAATGTTGGTGCTATTACAATCTTAATGTTGCAGATTACAGAAATGAAGCATAGAGAGGTTAATGAATTTAACCATGGTTGAATATATATAGCAAATATATAGCCCTGTCAATATATAGCCAATATATAGCAATGCCAGATTTTGAAAACGAGTTTTGTCCCCAGCGTCCACTTTTAACCAGTACTCTCCTGCCTCTCCTTTCCCACATTACCCAGGATCTGAACGAGTCCCTTGGGAGCAGAGAGGTGTGAGGACTGCTCGGTACAGCTGTGCAGGCTGTCCCTCCCTCCCATGCCTGTGGGCACCCTGCCAGGCTAGCCCAGTGGCAGCTGGAATCCAGCCCACACTCGGCCTGCTGAGGTGTGCGTGGCTGCGTCTGCCTGGGGGGAGGGCCACGTTTTTCTAATTTGCACAAAGATCCATTTCCCTTTCTCTCATGGCTTCTTACTCCTTGTTCTGCCTTCTCAGGTCTCTGCCTTTCCTTAGGAAAACGAGGAGAAAATGATCAAGTTCCAGGTGAGTTGGATTTTTATTTCTGTCACTTAACATGTTCCTTCATTTCTCAGTAAGTGGGCACCTTTTTTCTCTTCCTTGACAAGAGTGAAGAATGACAGCAGACATTTAATGCCATTTATGTGCCATGCTCTTTTGTTTCCTTTTTTAAAATTTTGTTTCAGTTTTTATTTGTTTTATCGTTTTATTTCACAGATAATAGTGTAAAAGAGAAAAGAAATGAAAAAACCCACGCATTATTACCCTGCTTATAAATGACTTGTTTTTTTCCAGTCATTTTAACATGCATTTATAACTACTTTCAATAATAGATACAGTTTAGATTTTTTTTCACTTAAAATTATAGCACTTAATTTTTGTCATCTAATCTTATTTCAATGAGCTGTTGTACTTCCTTCCCTTTTTAACTCTTCCCCATTCACAAGCTTTTAAGTTCTTGAGGATGCTCGCAGTTTTACACAGCAGTATCAGTTTTCCCACGTATAATCTTTACTCGAAAAGCAATTTTGACAGAATGCTAGTATTATTTGTCCTCATGGTCTAGGGACTCAAAACTAAAAAAAACCTTGTTTTTCCCTAAGTCGTGCCTTGGGTGCTTTATAACAAGAATATCTAAAGGATGGTTTTGTCTGACAGGGTCACAGTGAGGCTGAACTCAGAAAAATATAGTGTTAGATGTTGTCATATAAAAAGAGCTAGATTCTTCCTAGCGTCTGAAGCTTTCTCTGTGTGTCTGTGCGTTTCACTATTCATGTATTTATTTTATTAAAACAATATAGGTACTTAATTTAAAAATTTTAGTCCTGCTATAGGACAAGCAGGCACTTTCCATCTGTCCCTTTTTCGCTGCTCTGAGGGGACTTAGAGTCACCTGCACTGTTGCCATGAAGATAAGAGGTTCTGGTAAGTTCAAGTCCTGCTCACGTTCCTACAGGAGACAAGTGTCCTGCCAGCCCCAGAGCCTTTGCCTTCTGGGTCAGGAGAATCAGGCATACCATTTGGGTGGGAAGAGAGGAAACAAGACCCCAAACCAAACCAGAGTTCTCACTCAGAGACCATGACCTGAGGTTGTGATGCTTGGAGCTCCAGCCAGAACAAATGCAGTGTTGAACAGGTCTTCACGTCAAAAATTTAAATTTCCCTGATGAAAAATTTACAACAGATAGCAAAGTGGAATGAAAAATATTTACAACATACATGGAAGAAAAGGCCTTAATGTCGCCCAAATGAATATTCTTACGAAACAAGGCATAGAGATGACCAGCAAATATATGAAAAGAGTGATCTTCATTACTAATCAACTTTGTGAAAATTTTTCTAAATAACTGGTTTTTTCTTCCAAAATTTACTTCTGAAATTATCAAAGATTTTTTTTAAGTTTTCATGTCCAGAGTTGGCCAGGGTATGGAGGTTTAGGGATTTATGCTTTCTTGGAAGAAGAGTAAAGCTGGAAAATTTTTTGGGGAGGAAATACCTGCCATTATGATTTCAAAACTTGAAAGTTACTATTCTTCCACATTACTTTTTCTACTTTTTGGAATTTATTTTTATTTTTATTTTTATTTTTATTTTTTTTTAATTTTTAAATTTTTAATTTTTTTTTTAATTTTTCCCCCAAAGCCCCAGTAGATAGTTGTATGTCATAGCTGCACATCCTTCCAGTTGCTGCATGTGGGACACAGCCCCAGCATGGCCGGAGAAGCGGTGCGTCGGTGTGCGCCCGGGATCCAAACCCGGGCCACCAGCATCGGAGCGCACGCACTTAACCGCTAAGCCACGGGGCTGGCCCTGGAATTTATTTTAAGAAGATAATCAGCAGAGTTCCAGGGACTAAGGTCTACGTGAAAGGATTTTTTTTGCAACATTGTTTATAATAGATAATCTAAAACTAAGTAAGCGTGCATTATTTGGGTCAGTTCATTATATTCTAGATCATCAGTTCCTTGAATTACTATGCAGCCCTGAAGTGGGATGGCAGAGGTGATGATAATAAGAATCATAATAGTAGCTAACATTTGTTGGGTACTTACCGTGAGCCAGGCACTGTTCCTAAGTGCTTTGCCTATCGTCCCTCATTTTAGGACCAGTACCCTGTGGTAGAGGTGTCAGCATACAAGTCAGGAAAGGATGAGGGGCTTGTCCAAGGTCACACAGCCAGCATGAGGCAGAGCTTTCCAGGGTGAACACAGGCAGGCAGGCTCCAGAGCTGTAACCAGACCACAGCACCACAGACACTGCTCTCTATATGGGGCACAGATGATGAACCACATACTTGAAAAGTCAAAGGGACTGATAGCCTGGGGAAACAGACTCCATCTCACACAGTTGGAAATAAAGCTTTTCTGGGGAAAATGGCTTTATTAATAATTTAAAAACATTAGTAGTCCATGATACAGCAGAATTCTGGGACTTACCTGTGCTAACAAAAGGCAGCAGTTTATTATTATTATTTATTATTATTATTATTATTATTTTTTTTTGTGTGAGGAAGATCAGCCCTGAGCTAACATCCATGCTAATCCTCCTCTTTTTGCTGAGGAAGACCGGCTCTGAGCTAACATCTATTGCCAGTCCTCCCCCCCCCTTTTTTTTTTTCACCCAGAGCCCCAGTAGATAGTTGTGTGTCACAGTTGCACATCCTTCTAGTTGCTGTATGTGGGACGCGGCCTCAGCGTGGCCGGAGAAGCCCTCGGGATCCGAACCCGGGCCACCAGCAGCGCAGTGCGCACACTTAACTGCTAAGCCACGGGGCCGGCCCAAAAGGCAGCAATTTAGCATGCGAGGATTTCTGTTCCTGTAGCCCTTTGGGTGGATGGAATTAAGAGTGTGAAGGCAAACAAGGTAGTTACTTAAATTTGACTCGGGCGCCTCAGAATCCAGAAGAGCTTCCCATTCTTACATTGGAAGGGAAGTGTCTGGATGTCACTGTCCAGACACTGGACAGTGTCTCAGTGCTGCCCCTCTTCCATAAATATAGTCTGCGTGTGCTTGGTGTTGTAGAAGCTGGTGACCTTCGAGGACGTGGCTGTGGTCTTCACGGAGGAGGAGCTGGGGCTGCTGGACTCCGCCCACAGGCAGCTGTACCGAGACGTGATGCTGGAGAACTTCAGGAACCTGCTCTCTGTGGGTGAGGACAGGCGCCCTATGTACTCAGTGTCAGCCTCCTGGGGTGTCTTGCGTGCTCATCTGCTTGAAGCTCTGGGACTTCTGAGCTTGGGGACCTAGGAGTCCTAATAATCCCTGTGCATCATGGACAAGATGTTCCTGATGTTTCTGTCCAGACAAAAATCTGTCCTT